CCCCAAAACCCCAAAACCCCAAGTTGCCCAAAGAAAGGACTATTTTATGCGTGGGTGAATGAATTATTATTTTAATGAACTAAGATAAATTATATAATCTGTCTTCTAGACAGAGATTGGAAGAATCGGAACAGAAATAAGCAGAGATTAACTCCTATACTATTATTGAGACCTAAAACTAAAAGGATTAGATAGCTGCTAGAATAGATAAGAATCCTAAAAACTTCAATCCTTTTGAATTTGATGCTTTATACAAGATAGTTCTAATTGGAGAAATGGATACCGGAAAGTCTTCCATCTTGCTTCGCTTTTTTAACAATATCTTCTTGGACACTTACACCTGCACAATCGGGGTTGACTTTAAGACTAAGACTCTGAAAGTTGACGAAAAGATAATCAAGTTATAGATCTGGGATACCGCAGGTCAGGAGAGGTTCAAGTCTATCTCATAGTCTTACTATCGTAATTCTAATGGCTGCATAGCAGTTTATGACATCACTAGTCGATCAAGTTTCGATAGTGTAGAGGAGTATATCGAAAACTTTCTTGCCTATAGCCCTAAGGATGTAGCTTAAAACATCATATTAGTTGGAAATAAGAGTGATATGGCTGAGGGACGCCGCAAAGTGTCTACCGAGGAAGCTATTGCACTGGCCGAAAGATTAAACATTGCTGCAGTTTTCGAGACTTCTGCTAAGGATAATGAATCAATCGATGACCTGTTCAACCGGGCTGTTGTGAATTGTGTAGACATTCAGAGGAAGTTTGCATCAACTAATGACTCTAGAAATTTCAGCTCTTATACCTCTAAAGCAAGAAGCGAGAAGATTCAAACTCAAAGGTCTTTCTTCAATCTAGGATCAAGAAGTGAAAAAATTTCAAGATTCTAAAACTAAAATTTGGTTGAAGATAGTGAGGAGGAGAGTTTGGAATAGAATGATGCCAGTAAGTCAAGTGTAATGTTAAAGTAATAATTTGAGAAGGAAAAATGTAATTGGGGCTGTAGTTAGAAGTATCCACATTTATATTAGAGTAATAGAGACTAGGCAGACTAGTAGAAATATTAGTTAAAAGGTAAATAATTTCTCAGAAAGAAAGCCTGCTGTTGAGCTACATTATGCCTAGAAAGAGAGCTAAATTTCAAGGATTGTAATATACAAACATATGCATAGGACTTAATTTCATTATCTTTTCTGAATTCTATTATTAATCTTTAACTTTATGCCAAAATTTCAACTCAACGGGGTTTTGGGGTTTTGGGGTTTTGGGG